TCTCCAGGGCTGTTGGCAATCCTATCTCCTCATCCCCCACCAGTGGCCAGGGGGGAACCTGGTTCCCCTAAATTCTACAGAACATTTAATCCCAGAATCCCCCCCCCCAAAAAAAAAATCACTGGTGCAGTTGGAATACATTTCTTCTCTCGCCGGAGCCCATATGCTCTGCAGCAATCCATCAGAACTATTACATTCCGTCGATTCATTCATTTCAGCTAATCCGAAAAAAACACATATCACTTGGCTGACTTCCTGAACAGGCACATCTTTGATGCTTAGATAATAATTGCCCCATTTAAATGATAATGCCAAGATGTTTTGTTCTGGCAGGAGATTCACACAGGGGTCATAGTCATACGGAGACGCTCGCGCATTGCGCCGTCTATTCCGGGCTCCAGATTGTCGAGCGTACGCACGCAGACCCAGAACTTGGCACGGGCTAGCAGAAGCGTTCGCTTGACGGAGGGATTTACCTTGGAGGCAGAAGCGCTTCATAAAGCACAAGTACCACGAGCGGAACCGGAGACGGGAGGGAGGTTTTTTTGCTGAAAAAATTAAACCCATAACTTTGCCATGAGCAATCGAGATATTTCATCTGTTCCGTGCACATTAAGGATCTTGTAGTTTCTAATGGCATCATCATCTTTGATTATTCTGATAAATATTTGGACTACAGAAGAGATTCTGCTGCAGTTAATGGTGGTGATAAAACAAACACCTCCGTGTGTGGAATCCAACGTCCCAGATGTGAAGCTGGCAAGTTTGGGAAACCATAGCAGCTCCAGCGCTAAACTGCAGGGCCAGCTCTTTGGCTTGCTTCCCTGCTGCGTTCTACACGAGGCCCCTTAAGTTATACTTGTCGAATGGGGGTCCTGCTAACATCTTTCCTGGTGCCCACCAAGCCACTAAATGGACCACTGGTCTGATCTAGCAGAGCTCTTCTTATGTTCTGTTCTTACGCTGTTTCATTTTCATGCTGCCCAAAGTGGCAGCTACGCACTTAGACCCACGTGGGCAGATGTTTTAGCCTGAGGGCTACATCTGGGTCTCTGCCCGCTTTTGGGACCTCTTGGTTGTCTTGGTTCTTCCTGATTTCAGTTCTGGGGTACTAAGTCCTACACATGTACACACACACACACACACACGAACATGAAGCTGCCTTATACGCAGGCGTCATTTCATAGAAAAAAAGCTAGGGGAACTCATTAGCATAACTCATTAGCATATGCCACAGCCCCTGACATCAGGGGCTCGGCGGTGGACCTGCAAGGCCGGCGGGAGTGCAAGGAAGCCCCGCCAAGGCCCTCCCTGGCCCCAGGCAGGCAGGGGTGGGGAGAGGCGGGGAGGAAGCAACTTACCCTCCCTCTTCTCCTGCCTCCTCCTGGCTGAATGAGGGCTGGAAGCGGGGCGGCCGGAAGCAGGGGGCGGAGCTTCGTCATGTGCCCCGCCCCCTGCACCTCACCCGAAGGAACTGCGTTCCCCCGCGTTCCCCCCGAAATGACCTCTGCTTATACGGAATCAGACAGATCAGGCCTGGAGATCTCCCGGAATTACAACTGATCTCCAGGTGATGGAGATCATTTCCCCTTAAGAAGATGGCGGCTTTGGAGGGTGTACTCTATGGGATTATGCCCTGTCGAGGCCCCTCCCACTACCCTCCTCAGGCTCCGCCCACAGATATCCAAAGATTTCCCAACCTGGAGCTGGCAACCCTACCCTTGATGCATCAAGGTCAGTACTTTCTACTCAGACTTGCAGTGGCTCTCCAAGATCTCAGTCTGGGGTCTGTCGCATCACCTCCTACCTGATCCTTTTAACTGGAGATACTGAGGATTGAACCTGGGAGGGCCTGTGGCTCAGTGGTAGAGCATCTGCTTGGCATGCAGAAGGTCCTGGGTTCAATCCCCAACATCTCCAGTTAAAAGGACCGGGTAGGAGGTGATGTGAAAGGTTTCTGCCTGAGACCCTGGAGAGCTGCTGCCCGTCTGAGTACACAATTCTGACCTTGATGGACCGAGGGTCTGATTCAGTAGAAGGCAGCTTCATGTATGTTCATGTGTCACCTTCTGCATGCCATGCAGTGGATCTGCCACGGAGCCACCATCCCTCCCCTACAAAGGCTTGGAGACATAATTCTAGCAAATCGTCGTGGAATTATGACTGGATTGAGCCCCAGTCCTCTGTTAAACCTCTGGTACGCCTATGATACTTTAATTTCTATAGCGATTGGCCTCTATAGTTGAATCTGTGGTTCTGTTTCCCAGGATGCTTCAGGGTTCTGCTAAGTGCTGTGGCCTTCGGGTAGAGATAACTCTGTACATGCCTTTTGCCTTACATGACTTTTGCCTTTTGGAATGTTTATACATTATCAAATTCTAAATAGATAAAGTATATCAAGCCATAATATCACTATATCTAACAGTAAACATAGCTGGCCAATGTGTGCCACCCACAGATAAGTCAGGAGCCTTTATATACTTGGGGGGATTCCCAAGTATGCAATAAAAAAAGGTGACTTGGGCCCCGGTCACATGGGCCGGATATCGGGGGGGGGGCGTGGCTGGTTGCTCC